TCAAATTTTTCTATGTATCATTTTCTATATATCTTTTTCAATATCTTCTATTTATTTTAAAATTTTAATTATTTAATTTTATAAAATTATCAGAAAATAATAAAATATTATAATATCGAAATAAAAAATTTATATGAATTTATTATATTTTAATTTATATTTAATTATAAATATGTTTAAATTTCGCTACAAAAATATTATTTTCCTATTTATTTATATTTTGTTTAAATTTTTTTTATTATTTATCTTATGAAATTATATATATATTTTTTTATAAACATATGAAAAAAATATATAATGGAATATCAATGTATCAAAATAACAATTGATATAGTACAATTGATGTGTTAAAAATAAAAGGAAAGAAGTGCGTACATCCTGCAAAAAATAAATATCAAATACCTTCAATTGATTATTATTAATTATCCAGCTTTTCATCAAACAACTATGGGAATTTCCTATCTTTATACTTTTTATCTACAAACTGCTTAAGTTCTGTTTGGTAAAAAGGCGTTAACAATCATCATAGGTACTTGTTGTAGCAAAGGATATTATAGTAAATGACTTTAAAATTAAATTGACTGAAATTTATAATTTTGCGGATACAATTATAACTTTTTTTAAAAATAATATTTTATATTCAATTTCATTTTATAATTATTATTACAAAATTTATTAAAATTTTTAATTTCTCTTAAACATGAAATTTTTCAAAATAAGAATTTTAAAATAATTGATTTTATTAAAGACAATATTTTATTAAAGAACAGACTTTATAATTTATTCATATAATTGATTTTTTTTTTATACTTATATATATACTTTGCATACAAATATTTATATATAAGTTGCATACAAAAGTTTCTGGCATTTTTTGTTTTATTTTCAAAAGTAATATGTAAAATAAATTTTATTAATATTAGATAGAAAGATATTACAAACAAAAAGACATAATATAAGAAGTATTAATAAAATATTATTTATTTATTAATTTTTTTATAATAATATTTTTATAAATATAATTTTTATAAAATAATTTTTTTTATAATAATATTTATATAATAATATTTACATTTAGTAATATTATTTATTTAATTATTTTATGCATATTTAAAATATTTAAAATACTTTATAAAAATTCACATTAAACTAATCTATTAAATGAAATAAAATTAATGAAAAAATTTTAAATCATGTTATTTTGTAAAAAAAAAATCTTAATAATACAATAATATTTTTAATCTATTCTTTGTTATAAATTATTGTTAATAGTTCATAACTATATCTTTTTTTATTTAGCATAGCGTCATGATATGAAATTGGTTAGTCTTGAAATAAAATTTGAAGAAATTTTATTTTATTATTTCTTTAAATAATAAAATTTTCGAATAATTCTTTTTTTTTGATGTTTGTAATTCATCTATGCGTTGTTTAAATTTTTTTTATAAATATTCAATTGGATTAATCTACAAATTGAGCAGATTTTTAGATTAGAACTTTTATATTTTTGAAGAATAATCATTGTTTAATTACTTTAGATATTTATGTGTCATTTGTGAAAAATTATTATTAATATTATTAATTTATTATTAAATTTTTTTTTGTTAACATTAATATAATACACGAATTAAATTGTAATATTAATTATTGTATTATAACAAGATAGTTATATAATATATAATATTGATTTTTTCGATAGAACAGATGTAATTAAAAAAATTTTTAATTACTAATGAAAAAAAAATCAGAAGTCTCGTTTAAGATTCATTCAAGAAGATTTACATTGGATAATTAATAATAATTAATTGGAAAAATGTCGTCTTTTCGCAGATGAAATTTAATTTAAAAATGGTGGAAAACAATATATGCGACAAATTGAAAATATGAAATACCGAATATCAAGTGTAAAATATAATGTAAGAAACGTAAATATCTGAGTTATTTTTTTCGCTTATGACCATTGTGAGCCACTTGGGATAGAAATATGTTTGATTTTGAAAGGAAATATGAATAGTATCAAGATATTTTAAATAAAAATCTACGCACAAAAAAAATTGAGTTTCCGATTATAACTATACACACATAAAAATTTAAAAGTTTAAACATTGATTATTTTTTAAAAATATAAAAATTTAGATCTAATCAGCAGAATATTTGGATATTAATTCAATTGAACATTTGTACTAATTGAAAGAACTCATAAATAAATTTAAATATCAAAACAAAATAATTATTCTAAACTTTAAAGAAAGAATGGAAGAAAATTCTTTTAGATTTTATTTTGAGACTAATCGATATCATATCAGAATTGTGATACTGTGGTACTATCAATGCAAAAGACATAATTACAAAATATATTAACAATAATTTATAATAAATTAATTTAATAATATTAATAATATTAATATTTAATAATTAAAAATATAAATAATAATAATTATAAATATTAATAATTTAATAATAATTATTAATAAAATTAATAATTATAAGATATAATAATTAAACTTATAATAATTATAATTATAAGTTGTTTTGTGAAATGATAAGTGAAAAGAAAATTTTTTGAATATTGAAATTTTTATATAAATTAGTTTAATAATTTGCTAAATAAATACATATAATAAATAGTTAATAGATAATTAATAAATAAATTTTTTTTATTATTTTTTTTTATTTGTGATATCTTTTTAGCCAATATTAGTGATAATTTTAGATATTCCTTTTGAGATAAACGAAAAATATAATTTTTCAGCCAGAAATTTTTGCACGCAATTATCGAATACATCTATGTAGATCAGAGATATCGAACCCATGGCTCTAATCAGTAAATCATGATTATTTTCTCTTTAATAAACCCATAGAGAAAAGATCCTTTTTATCCGTAAGTTACTTCACTCTTCTCTTTCAGTTGTTACACAAATTCATAAACAAGCTTGTCATTATATATACATATATATAGAAGAAGAAGTTGTTAGGAAAATATAGAAATCTTCTTTCTTTTTAGTAAATATTTAAGATTATACATATAATATATAATATATACAATATATAATGGATGCTTATGAGAAAATTGTTGATGGAGAAAGAGAATCGTGTAGTTTCTAGAATTGAAATATGAATTGATTAATTGAATATCGTCAGCGAGGAAAAAGTTCGATATCTCTGTTATAAATGAACATGAATTTTTTCATATCAATTTCAATGATCTTGAAAAATATTGTTAGAAAATATCATTTTGAACAAATTTTTGTGACAATCTTCAAGTTTGACAAAAACTTTTGGTATTTTGCCTATATATAACTATATATACTTATACGTACTATACATTAATATCTGCCATTTATCAAATATTTATTTACATATGGTGTAATAGATATATAGATAATATAATTAAATATTTATAAATTTCGATATTTTATGATATTTTGAATCTGTGGAATAAATAAAGAAAAAATATAAAACTCTTAGACAATTGAAAATTGAAAATGATTGTAATTCATTGATTTAATTTGACATGATATCAACTTCATTGAATATACATTAAAAAAAAAAATCCTATTCAAATTTATAAAAAAAAATAGACTTTTTTACAAGTTTATTTGTTTTGCATATTGATTAATTAGCCACTCTATATATTATGTATTACATAAACAATTGATAAATAACCATCACATATTGATACATATATTATCACATATGCATAGAATTCAATATATAATATAATATCAAAAATTTTTGCGGATAACTTGAAAATTAAAGCCGATTATTGTTATATGTAAAGGAAAAAATTGTCAAAAAATCGTTATAATATATTTCAAGCTCATTGAGATCAGTGAAGAAAAAGTTAATCTGCAGATTGACATTATTGAAGCATTTATATAGATAAGATTTTGGAATTCATATCAGCGATTCCAATATTTAAAAATGTAACTATAATATGAGAAATAAACTATAATATATATAATGTGATTTAAAGATTAAAAAGTTAAATTCTACAATTAAAGAAATCTTTGATTTTAATAACTATTATGCCTTAATCGATCTTTTAAAATATTAAAACGTTTGAAATTATATTTCTATTTTTCATATATATGAAGATATAGAGTAATAATAATAATAAGAGTAATAATAGAGTATAAATAGAATATAAATAATATTTTCAAATTGCAAACAATTATAATTTTTTTTAATATTTTAAAATTATAAATGGAAATATATTAAGAAGATATTTTGAAATTTCTAATATTTAGCTGAAATGCAATCTATAGATTCCTTGATCTATAAATCAAAAATCTATAAATAATAAATTTTTTTAAAATCTTGTAAATATTGTTTGTTAATAAATTGTTTGCTTGGATTATTTTGTGATTAATTACAATGTTTCCTAATGGCGTTATTGAAAATATTTATTTCCGCGTTTGTTGAGTGGGTAGGTGATATCGAGTATAATAGTGATGATGAACTCGCGACTGTGGGTAAGACGGAGATGACTACTAAATCCGTGCCTCGTCCTGAAAACGAAGACGAGGAGGACGAGGAAGAAGAGGAAGAAGAGGAGGAGGAAGAAGAGGAAATCGACAAAGATATTTGTTCGAGTTTACGATATCACTGCCACTGATATCCTTTCTCTCGTCGCATCGATGCCGGTTCCTGTGTCCATTAATAGAGGTAATTTTTTCTAGCAATTGTCATTTTTTAATTCCAATAGTTCAAATTACAGTATAAAATATATAATTATATATAACTATAATATATTATTGTTAACTTATTAATCGAAATATAACAGTAAAAAAAAAAAAAATAGATACTGCGACTATTTGATTTTGATCTATATATTAAACTTTTCAATAAATATATTTATTTTTTTATATTTATTTTTATGAATCTTCAAATCAACCAATCAATTGCATTCTTTCAAATTGTCAATTTATCAACACGTGATACATATTATAATATATGTATATAGTTATATAATATTATATAATATACATAGTTTTAATAAGAGATATACACTCGTCCATAAGTATTGTCAATTTTGAAGAATTAACATAATGTAAATTTCATCTATCTTATCATTTGAAATATATTATTAAAAGCATTGTTTTCAGCAATCTTTTTTTTTTTTAATTTGTATTGCTTTTTCATGAATTTTGATAAGCTTGAAATATTATAAAGAATATTTTAAACAACTTTTTCCTCTACTTTTGCCATACTAACATATACAATAGAGTATGATTTCATTTTATGTTATATATAGATTTTTATTGTTTACAAGATATTAATGTTAATTGCTCAAAACAAATATAACTTGATATATAAGTTGATATACAAAAATGTCATTTAAGATTTATTTATATTTGTATAAATACATATGATACATAGTAACATAATCCAAAATAAAATTGACATAATGATATCAAAATTTTGATAATTATATATTATATATAATATAATATATATATAATATATAATATTAGAAGTTATTGATTTCGATGATTTTTGAATATAATATAGAAATTTTTTTTCTTTATAACAGTCACTCGGTCCTAGTTTTCGAGAAATTATTGTGTTTTTTTGAAAAAAAATTGTTGTTATACATTGAATTTTATTTATATATGTATTCGTTACAATGTGTGCGATCGGAACATGATGCAATGGTCAATGCCTAATATATGTAAGAAATAAATCTATTAAAAGATTATTTTCTCGCGGATTTTGATGGTTTGAAATGTTTTAATTTCAAATCATAACGGATTAAATATTTCACTAATTTTTATTTAGGATATAAAATAAATGCTTGAATGATTAAAATATGAGCAATATCAATATCATATTTAATGTCTATGGTTATAATTTCAATCATTAATTTGATTGTTCAAAAATTATCGATTAATCGAAAGATTTAATGTCCATAATATAATTGAATGTTTAAACTTGTTATGGGTTGATATTAAAATATTTTAACTCTATTAAAATTCATAAAGAAGTAGCTTTTTGATTGGTTCATCCATTATATTATATTTTGGACATCAGTTATTGCGATGTAGATAAGTCGGTATATGCTAATGTACACTGCATATATATAACTGAATTTCTATGCAATAATAATAATACTTTTTTTTGTAAATATTTTGAAAACTTTAAGAATTCGATTAGATTATAGATTATGATTAAATTATAATTAAATTAAATTAATTAAAAAGAATTACTCAAAATAATTGACAAATACATTTAAATTAATTAAACATATATTAAAATTAAAGTGATCAGAGTTTCCTCCTTCTATATAAGACATAATTAATTAAAAAATATATTTTAATATAATATAAAATAAATATATAAAATTTAGCGAAATTCATTAGTGATTTTTAATTCTTTTCAGATAAATATTACAATTAAGAAGATATCAATATTTATGGACGGGAGTATACATGGAACATTTAAAAGCTGCATTATTGAAAAAATATAATGCGAGATCCATTAAATTTAATTAAAAATATTTGATATGTTATGAGACTAAGATTTTTTTAACTTTTTTTTTTTAGAAAAAATAAAATTGACATAGTCCTCTATCTAAAACAATATTTTTATCATTTTTTTTTTCTTTATTATTTTTTACGTATATTTCTAAATTTACACTACTTTGTATTCTTTAAGCATAAATGTACATGCATATATATATCTTTTTTAAATGTAAACAATTATGGTTATATATATACATTTAGAATTAGAAAGCCTAAATTATACTATGTTTTGAAATTCTATATTATAGAAACATATTTTAAAATCATTATTAATAATTTGTATTATTAGTGATATTATTTTATTTGATGTTATCAAAATACAAAAAAATATAAAAAAATAAATTATTTAATAAATTTTGAAACAAATTTTTAATTGGATAATAATTTAAATTAATAATTCTTCTTGAAGAATTATTCAAATTGGTAATATAAAAAGTCAAAATAATGTTTATGTTAATGATTAAATTAAATTATCAAATATTTATTTATTAAATATTTATTAAATTATCAAATATTATTTTATAACATATATATTTATTTATTTATTTACATATTGATATTTATATCAAAAAGAAAAAAAAGAACAATAACTATGAAAATGATGTGGCTATTAATAGCATAAAATTTTAGATATAGATAGAGGAATCTTTTTATATAATAAAATTGAGCAGGTAAATTTTGATCTAATCGAATTGTTTATGAAACCTTGATATTTATCAGATCACCAAAGAAATTTAAAAAATGAACTGTGAAATATATATATATTCCTGTTACGAAACTTTTGTTTCGTTGAACTAATCAGTATTTCTTTTTGCTGCTTTCACAAAAATTATTTTTTTCAAAGAAATTTTTACAATTTTCTTTTTCGGTTTATTTTTCTTTTTTATAATAATTTTTTTTTTCTTGATAATTCATTTTAAAGAACAAACAAAAATTGAACGAAAATGATCAGATATATTTTAAAACGAAAAAATTAAATTCTTTTAATTTTATTATGATATTGAAAAAAAAATCATTATGATGATAAACAAAATTGGAATAATTAAACAATATAAAAATTATCATAAAAATATGAGATTGAATTCTATCAAAACAAATCTATTTAAAGTATAATATAATAATGAAATCTTAATTAATTAATCTATTAATTAATTAATTGGTTTAGTGAAATATTGAATTCGTCGTTATATCACAAACATACTCAGTTAAGTTTTTGGCATTTTTATTTAAAAAAAAACAATTAAAATAATAAATCGAAAAATAAAATGTTTAGTTAATCGAACTTCTACGGCTACATCGAGATAAATCTGAGCTGAAGGTCACAGTCTAAATTTGTCTCGTTGAATCTCAGCTCTTATTCCTCTCATGGATTTTACATATGACCTGAATCATTAATATTAGGATTGTTTATCTAAGGCATGATCTTCCCAAACAATTTCAAACAATTTTTTCAAGTTTAAATATTTCATATTTTCGAATTGATCAGTCGAAAGAATTGTTTCAACTATAATAATTAATTAAAATAAAATTAAAATCTTCGCAATGAAATTTTTGCAACAATTTTTATTTAGCATATTTTAAAAAAAATAATGAATAGTTAATTGTGATTTATTGAAGTTTTATGAAAAAAATAAATTATATTTTTCGAATAATTTACTTGGAGTATTTACTTTCATTTAATGTTTTAATGAAAACAAAATTTTCTAATGTCGAGATATTCTGATAAAAATTAAAAAAAAAAAAAATAATAAAATAGTAATAATAATATGTACAAATAATCTTACTTTTATATTATTTTTTTTTCTTTTTTTTTTTTGGAATAAATTTAAAATTAAGCAACTTGAATAAAACATGGATTTAAGTTTCTAGCATTATATAATTAATTTATCAAATTCATTTTTTTATGATTTAGTTTAATTACATCGCAATATCTTTTAATATCTATAAATCATTTTATTTATTTATTAAAAAATTTTTTAAAACTTACTAAAAATATTTGGAATTAAAATAATAATTTTTTTTTTTATAGTAGTTTAATTATAACATTATATATCAATCTTAATGAATCTTGAGCTACTTTTAAGGTAGCAATAGGCTCGATTTGGCTATTTCTCTCGATTCCTCCTATCCTATTTATTTATTTTGGTAAAAAAAAATTACAATTAAAAAGATATCAGGAAGCTTTTTTATAAAAAAGGTATGTTCATAGCTTGACCTTTGTATTAGATTTTTTTTTTCATTCCAATTTTTTCGATTCATTAGTGGTACATGATTGTAAATTATGATTTAATTAATAATGCAATTCTATTTGAAATATTATTAAAATTTAATATTTTAAAATCACATATTGGTATCTTATTATTTTAGCAATAATCACATTGCTAGTATTGATAGTATCTTATTGTTCCCGTTCGTGATACTATTAATTAATTAGTTTTCGAGGAATGTTGAATTTTTAGAATTAAAAATATATATTGGATTTTAATTTAATTTTGAAAATTTAATTCGAGATAATAAAAAATTAATAAAATCGTTATAATACAAAAACTATATAAATTTTGATTGTTAAATGATATTAATTCTAAAATCTATAATTGAAATATCTGATTGAATCGATAAATTAAATTCAAAGACAATTCAGAGACAATCATAATTGATTGCTCTGATTGACAGCTTATTTTAATCACTCTGATACACAACCTTGTAGTAAGCATATGGATACGTTTTTTAAGTAGGTCAAGTATGAACTACTAATTACACTGAATTCTCCACTCTATCTCTTTGCTAGATACTTTTTGCTATTATCAAATGTATTACAAGATCTTTTTCTTTTATCTTCCGTAAAAAAATTATTTATGAAGAATGAAAGATATTTTGATATTAAAACAATTTAAATTTTATTCATAAGAGAGAAAAAAAAGATATTCTAGAATAGTAAAAATTAAGTTCATGTTAATATATATCGATAATTTCATGAATATAATTTATCGTTTAATTGCATTGCACTTGATACAAATCTCTTTTAATTATTTCATTTCAAACTTAAATTAATATTTGATTCGATATATGTACATATAATAATCAAAATAATTAGAAATTTCATTATTCTCATAATTTTATTTTACAATTTGAAATTTATGAAAT